TGTTTTTCTTTGTCAGTGACAGCCACGGGTTTTTACATTCTCAGCCCCCTCCTGTCAGGACTCTTCTTCATGGCCGGCGGCCCTGGAAAATACAACCACATGGCATTCCATGTGCAACCAAGCACTGCCGTGTTCTGAGGTGCCTGTGAGCACCTTTACCATCGTGCCTTGGCCTTGCGTGCCAAGCTGTGCAGCAAGCTGTCTTTGAGGACTCTGAACTCGTGGGGGAATTGAACAGCTCAGATTGTATAATATTGTGTTCCAAAACCAGCAGCAAGTTGTGTAGTGGTGACGGCCCTTGTGTGCAGACCCAACAGTTGTGCAAGCAAGTCGCAGGCACCAAGAGGGATTGGCATACGCTAAATGTTCGGACTGCTGTCCGTCTTGTTCATTTGTCGCCCTTTTGTAAGAACTGAGGTGCTAGGACTTGCTCTTGATTACGACATCTTCCTCCTCGGGCGCCAACTGTTTGCACTTCAGCAAGCGGCGTGAACCAACAACCCTCCGACATGGCACACTTTAAATCCAGTTGGATGTTGAGATGGTTTTGCTTTGCAAGATAAGGGAATTGCGACGTCTACTTTCAACCTGGTCAATGCAACACCCCAAGAGATGCCCAAGAGTTATACAACAGTGTGTCTGCTCAGGAATGTGTGAACTTCGAGAGCGTGGGCTCCCCACTTTGGACGCAGTCGCAGGCCCAGTGAGAAGCACGACAAAGAGGTTCGCATCCGCAGCCAGAGAGACCCTGAAAGTATCTTGGTCGCGGTTGCTGCGTAAGAGGTGGCTAAATCCCTGGCCCAGGTCGCAGATGGCGTGGCACAAACTGGCCAAGTCATCACCTGTGCGGGACATGGGGGGCCTAGCTGCTAGCTTTGTTTTGCTCCAGTTGGCAACGTGACTTGATTATTTCTTGTTGGTACAGTTCTTATTGACACCTAGCCTTGTTTGCATTGTGATTATCACTTGTTGCCACCATTCGAGTTTGCAGGCACTTTTTTCAGCTCGCCTCTGCAGGAGTGATGATGGCCATCGCCTTCGGCGGAATGGTCCTCTCAGAGGCTCTGCTGCCATTTACGTTGGCAAACAAGGGGCTTGGGAGGGTCCGTCTTCAGCACCCCGCAATGGGGGCGCGGTTTTGCACACGTCATCAAGATCCCAGCACGCAAGCCTGCCACATGGCAAGCACGCCCGCTCAAGCGCGCCCACGCCTGCCAAATCTTCTCAAGCGCACCCGCTCAGCACTGCACACTTGCCTGCCAGATTTGCTCAAGCGCGCTCGCTCAGCACTGCGCGCACGCATGCTAGATCAACCCCAGTCTATTCATAGAGGGGCGTTCCCGTCCAAAAGTGATGACTCTCCACAAAGCCCAGGGGTCAACGTTAAGCGCACCTGCTCAAGCGCGCCCGCTTGGCGCCTTGGGACTGCCTGCGCATAAAGAGCCCTTGTTGACTGAGTTCCTTCATCATTGACCCAACCTTCTACAAGGTTGAATGGTGAAACCCACGAACCCCATGCGGGGTTGCTGCTTTGTTGGCAACGGCAACACAGCTCGCAATACATAAATGCAGCCGACCAAAATCGGATTTGGTGACAGAGAAGCATGTCAAGACAACGCCATCGTGCCAAGAGTTGCCAAAAACAGGGGCCATCCAGCCAGCTCGCCTGAAGGTGCCCGCCATGAGACAAGAATCCTGGATCTTCGTATTGGCGGTTCTTTTGGAGCCTTGGTGGCAGGCCTCGGTCCTCTGCAATGACACTCTTTCCTTCAACCTGGTGCATCCGGAAGTACTAGCATATGCATATGCACAAGTGGCACATTAGACTTACTAAGGACACCTTTGTGGTGCGAACAGTGGTGACGCCGGCTTTGGCGGCAGCTCTAGGTGAGGCCAACTGGTGGCCCAGACATTTCAAAACTGTAGAATTGCCCGGATGACAAGCCGAGGGTATGATCATGGTGCGTTGAGATCTCAACTTGTGCAGCCTCGCCTGTCCGTCCAGGGCATGTCCCTCGAGCTTGACCTCCAGGTCGCATGTCCAATATGTCATGGCTTGTGTTGTTGAATCCTCTTAGGACCGATGTTTGGTTTCACATGTTTTGTTACACGCTCTCTGGTATACACTCTCACTTGTGTGGGCTGCTTTGGCGGAAGCTTCACAAAAGAAGCACCCCCACAGCATTCGAGTTTTTTAGGGGCGGCATGCCTCTAAGGGGCTTGTGCTCGCTTTGCCGTCCTCCTTGGTGAATCATATGTCAGTCAAGCAGTCATCATTATGTTTGTGAAGTTAGAATTCATTGGATTGATTCGACTCAGCCAACAACCAATTCAGGCTGAGGTGCTGATGCTCCCCAGCCATTCGCTAGCCTATGGCTGGTGTCATGTTGCCCCCTGCTAGCACCAAGGAGTTGCATGTAGAAAAGGTGGGTGACTCGCAGAGGGGCTGAAGAGCCCGGCATGGTGGCAAAGAATCATCTTCCATTCTGCATACATACATACATACGTACATACATACATACATACATACATACATACATACGTACACACACACACATATATATATATATGCTACCCCCCCCCCCTTGAAATACTCAGGATTTGGGCCAGAACTGAGGTTTTTTTGCCAGACTGGGGGTGACAAATTCCTTGCGACTCTGAAATGAACTGACTGGACGCTCAACTCCATGCAAATTCCAACCAAGCAGAAGTTAAGCTCAACGTTGAAGGAGTTGCGAGTTGTGTGACCGTCACATTGGCGTGCGCGAAGTGCACTTAAAGTCACATTGGAGTATGCAAAGTTCACTTTGGCAGTTCCAGCTCAAAAAGCACAACTGTCCAGTACAAGAGTAGTGCGCGAAGCATGTTTTGGCAGCCTCAATGCGCCTGTAGCAGCTCTACTATTGTGTGTTTCTTATTTTTGTTTGGCTGCGAAATTCAGCAAATCATCAACTTGGGAAAAAGGAACTCATTCCTGCTTCATGTCCTGGCGCATTTGCATTTTCACGTTAACTCGAGTGTTGTGCAGAATTCCATGTACATGCTAGTTCAATCTGTTTGAAACATATGTTGCAAAGCAACTATCCCATGTTTGCGTGTTGCTTGTCTAACTTGGTTCAATCATCGCCAATAACAAGTATTGAAATTCAAGTAAGGGAAGGATATCCAGTTTAAAACGCTTTCGAGTTCAAACCAAATTCAAGTTTACTCGTTTGGAGTTTCTTGTGCATTTCAAAAATCAACTGGAGAAGATGGCTATTGTCCTTATCGAACTCCATGTGGTTTGAACCAAGCAAGAACTAAGCCAAGCCAATGCCTGGAACGTGCTTTCAATCACAGATCTTATTATTGGCATAAATGCTGTAAAACGCAGTGTTTTCAGCATTTGCTCAGATCGTGTTGCCTTAGATCGAAGATCGAGTATACAAGATTCCACAAACATATGTTTAGAACATCCTCAATCCTGGTCCCCTAAAAACTTGACAGTTTGTTCTAGACTCATTAAGGCTTTGCCCCCTGCATTAAAGATTGAAGATCTACTATATTTTCTATTGAGAATTCAGAATCTTCAATCCTGGCCAGCCCTCAAGTCCACACAAAACCTGTAAAGATGTCAACAACATTTTTCCCCCCTGGCCAAATGCAGGCAGTGCAAGTGCACATCCACAATTTGATTCTGACAACGTGCACTCCCGGTTTGGCAGCGAAATTCAGCAAATCATCAACTTGGGGAAAAGGAACTAAATCCTACTTCATGTCCTTGCGCAGTTGCATTTTCATGTTAACTCGAGTGTTGTGCAGAATTCCATGTACATGCCAGTTCAGTCTAATTGAAACATATGTTGCAAAGCAACTATCCCATGTGTGTGTGTGTTGCTTGTCTAACTTGGTTCCATCATCGCCAATAACACGTATTGAAATTCAAGTAAGGGAAGGGTATCCAGTTTAAAACGCTTTCGAGTTCAAACCAAATTCAAGTTTACTCGTTTGGAGTTTCTTGTGGATTTCAAAAATCAACTGGAGAAGATAGCTCCCCTAAAAACTTGACAGTTTGTTCTAGACTCATTAAGGTTTTGCCCCCTGCATTGAAGATTGAAGATCTACTATATTTTCCATTGAGAATCTTCCATCCTGGCCAGCCCTCAAGTCCACACAAAACCTGTAAAGATGTCAACAACATTTTTCCCCCTGGCCAAATGCAGGTGCTTGGCAGTGCAAGTGCACATCCACAATTTGATTCTGACAACGTCCACTCCGGGTATGCCTTTTAGATTCTTCAAATCTGCACTTAGGGCAATCCAGGATCTGAAGATTGAAGATTCTCTGACAAGTCTTTCTGAAATTCTCCAAATATGTACTTAGGGCAATCCAGGATGTGCTAGCACGTGCTAGCACATCCTGGATTGAAGATTGAAGATTGAAGATTCTCGGGCCACTTGTTCTGGAAATCTTCAATCCTTAGGACAAACTGATATGTGCTAGCATGTGCTAGCGCATCTTGGATTGAAGATTGAAGATTGAAGAATCCCAGAGAGAGTTGTCAGAGAATCTTCAATCTTCAATCTTCAGTCCAGGATGTGCTAGCACGTGCTAGCACATATCAGTTTGTCCTAAGGATGGATTGACGATTTCCAGAACAAGTGGTCTCAGAATCTTCAATCTTCAATCTTCAATCCGGGATGTGCTAGCACGTGCTAGCACATCCTGGATTGACCTAAGTACCAATGCTAGAATTTAAGTCTAAAACGGAGTGCATTTTTGGAGCCTATTTTTTAGAAGCTGGAACGTGTGTTTTGCATGCATTTTTACAGCCAAAATGTCAGTTTCTGGCCAAAAACCTGAGTATTCCAGGGGGGGGGGTACCATATATATACATGCTACCCGTGGACAAACGGGGACATGCGCTTTTCGCATATTGGTATGCTGGCTGTATAGAGATCGGGTGGTGGTGGAAACCTTGTTTGTCTCACCGCGCTCTTGTGCTTCGCAGCCTTCCTGAGGCGCCGGATGCTGGCATCATCCGCAGGCCCGAGTGGTGCGCTGGCAAGCCGAGCAGATTGTAGTAGTTGGTCAGAAATGCCCTGCGCATGAGATGGCAAGCGCCTGTGGTCACAAAGGGAAGATGCTTTCTTTTTCTTCTTGGCCCAAAGTATCTTGCTCGCAGGCTTTGACGGCATTGTCAGCGCAGGAAATACCCAGCGGCTGGCTCAGAGCAGTGCAAGTTTTCAGGCACATGGTGCGTCTATTTGCTTGGGGCTTTGGGCCCTGTCGGCTCTGAGGAGTGAGTGGACCAAGTTGCCAGCCATCCAGTCGGTGCCATGGCAAATGCTTGGAGAATCCTATGGCCCCCACGAAAACATCAGAACCACCGAAATCTCAAGGGGCCACCATGACGAAGGGGGACCTAAGAGATTGGACAACACGTCATGGCTTGTGCTTGCATATCCTGCATTTTGTGGGATGATGCTCGCTTAATGCCTGGTGGTTTCCTTGCCCGGACCCGCTGCAGCGGCTTTGTCAGGCACGAACTCGGACGGACCCACCAAAGGTGGCAGGAGGCTCAGTTCGGTTTGGCCTTGCAAAGAGACAGGGCAAGGCAAGATGGCCCACCACAGGACCAATATGCTTGTACTGGCTGAAATCCTTTGAGGCGACCCCTCCGACTAGCCGCCCTGGGACAGGTGGGCGGATTGTGCGCACAGTTCCCTCGTTGCCCGGAGCATCGTTCTCTCAAGCTCTTGATTGATTGCTGCAACGCTTTGTGGGGCCCGCTCTGGACGAAATTTTGGCTTCCGCTGCAGGCAACTTTACCGCGTGTGCCCCTCAGTTTTGGCATGTCACTTCAGAACTTGAACTAGATTCGTCCCAGGCGCTGAGCTCCACGAGTTCGTTCAGTGGCCCAATGAGTTTTTGTTCATCGGTCATTTCGTCCTGCCTTGAAGAGGCCACGAATTTAAACTGAGCCACCAGGGCACAGTTATGAGGCTTGCCAAGCAAGCCAGGTCCGAATGGCATTGTTAATGGGCTGCATCTCAACGTTAAAACTGTTTTTCGTTGCCGATCTTGGTACGAGTGGTGTGGAGTGGCGGGGGGGGGGCAGGACGGTAATTAAATCAAACCGTGAAGCAGCTGGCTCAATTGGGTGGGTTGACTGGAGAGAATTGGGCCCCTGTCGATCGACCCCGTGCACGAACAGGCAGGGGTGCCTTGTGCGATCTGCCAAGACTATTTGGCTACCTGCCAGGTGGCATCACACTGAAAGTTGGTTGCTGCCATGTCATCATGCAGAGGCGCGTTGGGGTGTCGCAAAGGCAACTTGGGAAGAATGCGGCATTGATGTACATTGTATTGGCACAGCAGAATAGAGATCAACGCGCAATTTGCGGTTTGCTTCTGCAGATCCACCAATTGGTGGAAATGAGATGGCTGGCCTTCGGGCGTTTCTCAGAAGTTCCAACCTGAGCTGCTAATTCTTTGGTAGTTCGCACATTTCAACATTGAACTTGCTGGTGCAATGAGGTCGATGCGGCAGCCTCAAGGCACGATTTGCGTGCAATTCAGTTTGAAGTGAAATTGCAGCCTGGCCAACGCGAGCGGAACCTTGCAACTGTGATGTTCGCATCAGCGGATCAATTTGGACAGGCTGCTTTTGGCGAGCTGGACAGCCACGACGTTGGACAGCTGACCAGTGATGACTTCGTGAAGGCTTGTGAACATTTCCAAATCAGAACATGTGTTGCAAAAACAACATTTTTGTTGCATCTTGCTCAGGGACTATTGCGATTGGGATATGCGGAGGCAACAGAGCTCGTCAATGTTCGACACATTTAGTTGCGCTTGGCACTGGGCACGAGCCAGGATGCGAGCGCAATGTTTCGCTCCATTGATGGCGCCAAAAGCGGGCTTGTCACGATGAAGCTCTTTTGGCCAAAATTCATCCAGTTGCCTTGACCAGGGATGTTCCAGGAGTTTCATCAGCAATATTTCATGTTATGTCAAATGAAAAAAGGGCTGCAAAGATAATTAAAGGGCAATGTCATGTACGGCACAGTCAGATGTTGTTTGCATGTGTTTCTCTTGACGCCTTGAACTCAGGAGCTTTTTGAATTGCCTTGGTGATCGCATGGTGGAAGCCATAGACACTGACAGGCCGGGCTGACGATGATTTATGGCGGTTGTGATTGCTCCGCTGCCTGAGGCAACACTCAATGGTCAAACCATTGACGAGAAGTGCAAGCGATGATGTTTGGAAAAGTGCGAGAATACCAAAGACTGGCCGGGCCGGGGCGCTGATGCATCGGCGCCAGCAGTCACTGTTTGTTGGTGTGCGTTCAAAGCGGATCAATTTGTAATTGCTCGTATGGGCTTGCCAAGGCTATTGACGCCTTGATTGGTAAGTTCTGTTTTTTGCCACTTACACCTTTTCCTTTGGCTGGTGTGTTTGGGATGAAAAGTATGGTTCCAAAACTGTCCCAGGAGTGTTTTTTAAAGAGATGAAAGGAGTATGTACAATATGCACACCTATAATGTGTTTTTGTTTGACATCAGGATGGCCTGTGTGTTGAGTTGTGACGGGCGTTGGGTGGCCAAGAATGGCCTCGATTAGCAAATTCTTGCTGCACGTGTTTTGCCCATTAGCACAGGAGCAGTTCTCCCAACTTGCTGACCAGCCATGCTGTTGGTGGCGTTTTGAAGCTGCTCGGCAGACCTTTCAAAATTTGCAATTTGTCATTAGTTTGGTCAGGTTCCTGTGGACGAGAGTGTGTCGCTGTCACACCAAGGAGTGGATCTGCGTTGCGCAGCTCCACACCAGATGACATAGGTTCCGCGCGTGTTCGGTTGAACATTGTGAGTTTTCCTATCGGTTTCTTTAAGGATTCGTTGTTTCTTTGCCCTGATGGCTGCACCTAAAGTAGCATTGGAAACCCAACCAAATAACCAACCAAATAACCAACCCTAATCCAACCTTGAACCCACCATAGCCAATCTGCCATCCATCGTAAAGTATCCATGTGCACAACCTGAAACAAATTTAAGTAGACCGGGAATATCAAAATTTAAGACCCACCCCAACCAATTTTCAATGGATCTAGAATCTATCCTAGATCAATGCAGAATCAACCCTAAACACCAAACCACCAAATCAAGGTTGAGTCCACCATTGAGCAAAAATACGGTTTAAACCGGGGATCCCTCAAACGCTTGCATTTTTCCAAGTTGCGTCTTCCCTGGTTTTTAACTGGGTTCAAATGCTAGAAAAACATGGCAACATTTCCAAACGGGTTCAGGTTCATTGATGTTTTCGCCCAGGCTTGCTCCAAGGACGGACATGACCAGGTATGTGCGATTTGACAATGACCGCTGTTTCCATGTCCGGGTTGCTCCCTTTGCAAGTGTTTGGTGGTGGTTTGTTTCATTTGTGGATCCCCTCACAACAATCGGCCCGTGTTGCGGGGGCATGAACGACTCTCCGGACCTCAGGCCACATGGGACCATCCAGTAGTTTTTCCTTGTGTATAAGATACCTGCCAGGTCTGACACCCACTTCGCCGCACATGCCCGTGGCGGGCGCAGATTTGTGGCTCGTTGCAGATGCTGTTACAGACACGGATGATACAATAATGGTTGTGTCCAGGTTCCAGATGCCGTGATTCTCTTGTTTGCAAGCTTGCGCTGTAATTCTGGTGCGTCGCATGAGCATGACAACCCTCAGAATACTGGTTTCAAACGGAGGCAAACTGACAAGGTGCTTGCCTGCTTAGTATTTGCATAATCTAAGGCTGTATGCCCGTATCTCCAGAGTCGAGGAGCAGGAACTTGGCTTCAACACATGTAGTGCAAAGAGCAGTGTGCGAGCTGTTCGCAAGCCGAGTTATTTTGTTTGCAAACTATGCACTAGTTTTAACAACACATGTTTGGCACGTACCTGGCCTAGGTTGCAGCTGAGCAGCGCTTGCGCTGTGAGACTGAGCAGCGACTTACACAGCATTTGAACAGCTTGGTAGGCAGGACAGCACTTTTGCTTCGGAGCACCATGGGGGACTTGGGATGGGCAGGACGCATACCTCATCTAATTAATCATGCGAGTGTTGATCACGTACGCTTGAACCCAAAAGAATCTTCAGAGACCAATCAAGCAGATCAAGCAGACTCTGTTTGTCATGTGCCCGATGTTCGCCAGGGGTCAGCATCTCGGAGCAGCTGGATGTGCTTCGTCAGCAGCTTGTTGAAGAGCGAATGCAACGCCAGGCTAGGGGGGTCCAGAGGGACGATTCTGTGACAAGATTGAGAAGTCAATATTGAATATGATAGGACTGAATACACTGATTGCATTGACAGAAAGTTCAGCTGGCAATTGTCGCAATTGTCGGACAATGCCAACAGGTGGACATCACTTCTGTACGCGCCTCGTTGGAGACAGTGAGGCCTGGCTTTGCCAAGCACCGTTGAATTGCCTGCCTTCGTTGGACATCATTTGGCAGCCATTTCCTATCGTAGGTCAACCATTTAATGTGATTTGATTGACATTGAGATAGTGTGTTCGTGTTTGTGTTTCCTGCAACTTAGTTGCATCATTGTAAGAACCATTCCACCTAGGGCTGAGACCGCATGACGACTGTTGTTCCAAATCAATTTGCACATTTCCGTGCAACAGATGCGTTGGTTCCTTCTTCGGTCAATAGGTTATCATCAACATTGCTGGCACACTTGAACAGGTCCCTGGCGCTGCGCTCTGTACAGGAGAACCTTGAGGAGTGTCACGGCCAAATTTGGGATCTCTACTAGTAGGGTTGTCTAAACTACCTGCGAAACAATGCGACATCCAAAATGATGTATCGCATTGCGACTAACCTTGCTATATATATATATATACATGCACATAAGCCAGCCGTTTTGAAAAACCGAAGCTAGAACATGAACGCCGCCACAGATGCCAGACATTGTGGCAATACTCATCCAGACAATTCTTCATACATGTGGACATATGGTGGGCCAGATGTGGCAAAGCAGGCCACAGCCCTTGATTCAAGTTTCGCAATTATATATTAGCATCGAGTTTGCCAATGCGCCGAGTTCCTGAGGTGCGTGAAAAGCGAAGTAGACAAGTCCATTGGCGAGGTCCGCATGATGCGACCTTAGATTGGCAAAACACTGATGAGCGCCATGATCAGCTATCACATGTTTCCACGGCAGAAATCAGAAGGCAACTCGTCATGGGTTGCCAAGCAGTTGCTTCCCAAGGACTTTGGAACAGACCGCATGCATCAATGGCAGCAAGAGCCCAGAGCTGCGACAAAAGCCCGGGTGCCGAGTCGAACAGAGGTTTGTGGTGCAGTTGCAGGCAATCATTTCGTTGGCGGGCTGAGTTTATGAGGCTTGATGAGCTCAGCAAATCGACTGAGATTCGGTTGGCAGAGCTCGAGGCATCCGTGCGAAGTGCACCTCGGTATTGTCAAGGGGATTTGGGCTAAGGCATTGTGAGCTTCAACCGTGAGTTCTCACGTTAGCCATTTTGGTGGGCATTGAAAGGCCCAAGTATCCAACACGTTCATTGCATCCTTTGCTGAGTGTCATTTGATGTGAATATAATAATCTGAAAATGATAGTGTTGGTAATTTGATGTTAGCAAGTTTGTTCTGCCGTTCAGTTGGGTGCAATCAGTTGTCCAGCCAAACTCCTGTATCCTGCAAACTTGACAACAAGCAGCGTGCACTCCTGACGGTTACCCCCTACATGCAGTGGGTGCTTGTCAACAAGAGGGTGCAGTTTCCCATTTAACTGCTGCACCCACCCCCACCCCCGCAGCCCCCCTCCCCCAGTTTACTCGTACGTGCGGGTACGCGACAAATGTTTTCGAGTCAGGAAAACGACACGACCTTGCGTGCCTCAGTAGAGACAGTGAGGCTGGGCATGGTCTCAGTGTTTCAGATCGACGATGAGCGAGAGAGAGAGAAGAGTGAGAGAAAGAGACAAGTGGGGAAACACTTACCGCGTGCTCGATCTTGAGACCAGTCGCATGCCAACCGTGCTAACATCGCAGCAGAACAGCATAGAACAAGGGTTGAGCAGGTGGCTGTCAGGTCATGTTCAACATGTTCACACTGAGCGCAGGTCACTGGCACGCTCCGTACAGGAGAGCCTTGAGGAGTGCCGCGGCGAGAATTCGGGTTTCCAGGGCTTTCTAGCTTCCTGTGAAGTATTGTGAAGCACTGCGACATCCAAAATGAGGTATCGCATTGCAAGTTTCCTTGTTTGTGTCATACAGATTGCTCTACACCGTATACACCAGTCTTTTTTTTTTCTGATGTCCCTGAGGCGCGTAAAATCCGAACTGGACAAGTCCATCGGTGAAGTCCGCATGTTGCAACCTCAGCGAGAAAGCAGAGGAAGGTTTCGCATGGACATGTCAGGTTTGTTTATTTAGTACGCAAAGTTTGAATCATTGGGCAATGAGATAGAGCATGGATTGCTGGCTGCTTTCCAAGGAGCTTGCAGCAGACCGCCTGCGCCGACGGCGGCGACAAGAGCCCAGAGATAGAACAGAAGCCGGGACGCTGAGTCGAATGCACACAACAGGAATGGCGCACAATTTGCGAGCCAACAAATCTCACCAATCAAAGTGGACACCAGTCAACAAGATTGAAGGGCTTCGTGCTTGCTGATTTGGACATCGATATGCTGTTGGCTTGGATTCGCTGTGAAACCAAGGTTGGACAAGCTCAGTAAATCCACAGAGATTCGATTGGCGGAGCTCGAGACATCAGTGCGAAATGCAACTTGGTATGATTCAGGTGGTTTTGAGAGGACTAGGAAAGTATGAGCTCCAACTAATCATGAGCGATGTTGTTCAATCAGGCAATGTGTTCTAAAAAAAAAGAAAACACGCGCAATGAAAGATTATTGAGCAGCGGCAAGCTTAAAATTGTTCATGGGTTTGCGGTTACAAGTTGCAGTTTCGTCGTCAGGGTTGCTTGGCACCCAAACTAATTATATGTATTTGAGCCACAGTCAAAACCTGGTAGAGGAAGTTTAGCAAGGGATAATCCCAACCATAAATATTTGCGGCCGCCTTCTTAATTCTTTACATTGTTCTGGGTAGACCATTTTAATACCGGGTTTGATTGTGACTCATTTGGGATCAAGCAAAATTAGATAGCTGATGGACATCATTTTGCAACTAGAGTGCACCCAATAAATTGCTATGGTCAATGCTACTGAAAGCTGGTCACAAATGCCTGCAAGGTGGGGGATATTACATCCTTGCGAGATTCCCTCGAGGCACTGAGGCCTGGAGGGAAAGCAGAGGGTTGCAGAGCTACAGTATAGCACGTGTAAGAGAGAGAGAGAGGTACAGAACGCGTGTGCCAGCAGGAACATTATAAACTCAACAAAAAAACCAGACCCGTAGTTACCAGATGTCAACGTGAGATGGCACCCGCAGGTGTTTGTTTGACTTGAACCAACCGCCAGGCCGCGCAGTAGTTGCAGCCGATGCTGTCTAGCCATAACGCTGTTGTTTTTCACAACAGGCCTCGCATCAGCTACATCGAAACGCACACGTAGTCCAGAATAGCTAAGCATGTGGGCACGTCAAACGAAATAGTTGCATTCAAGTCTAGCCTTCATTGTCAATATGCTGAGACCTGTTGATCTACTTTTGTTCGAGAATTAAAGCTTACTCGCTTTGGAAAGCGCAGGTCGCTGTGCCTGCGCTCTGTACAAGCGAACCTTGAGCAGTGCTGCGGCCAGAATTGGGAAGCTTTTCAGTCAAGATTGAGCATCCAAGTTGAATCCTCGCATTGCAACATGTTTGTATACCAAATGCTTTTTAATGCCCCTGAGGTGCGTAAAATCCGAAGTGGACAAGTCCATCGGCGAGGTCCGCATGTTGCAACCTCGGATTGAACGCCACCATGTCATTGAGGTGTCAGGCCGCGTGATACTAATCTGATAGTCACGCATAGACGTCATCATTGACGTTTGGTGCAGTCGTCAGCGCTCAATTGTACTTATTCCATGGCCAGCGTTTTTGAGGCGCATAACATCTGAAGTGGAGAAGTCTATAGGTGAGGTCCGCATGTTGCAGCCTCAGCTTGGGAATAAACAATGAGCGCAAACAGTTCGTTTAGTTGGTTGGCATGCCTGATGCTCGAACATTCTTCCACACATTTTCTAAAATACAAGCGCTTTGTACGGCGCACACTTTTCGCATTTGAGCCATCAAGTTGGAGCATGGACCTGCCGCCTGACTCATTTCGGTCCGAGGACCTTGGAGCAGATGTGTGCTGAAGGCCGCGACAAGAGCCCAGAGCTGCGACAAAAGCCTGGTTGCCTAATCACCGGAAAGATGCGTGCCATGATCGATCTGGACGTGCATGTTGCTCTTGATTTGGTGGCCACCGGTATGTTGTATGATGTAAGGGTGGGACGGCAATGAGGCTGGAGCAACTCAGCAATTCAACTGAGAATCGGCTGGCGGAGCTCGAGGCATCTCTGCGGAATGCTGCTTGGTATCAGATATGTTTTTGCGGTTCGACTGGGACCGACTATATCTTCAGCCCCCCAATCAGCAACCCCTTCTCGAGTTCAAACATACTGTCATTGAGAGGCAGGGAAAAGGTCGCCCTTTGCAAAAGCAGTTCATCATGATCGGATTTGACTTGTGCAGTTGGTTGTAGCGGCTTGTAGTTATACTTCGATTGCTGGTTTTAATCTGCTCAGCTCACCATGAAGGCTCATCATATTGCATCATTCTTGAGGCATTGCAACATATCTCCGGGTGTGTTTGCTTAGCCACTTGCTGCTGCCCTTTGTTGGCACAAACAAGCGACTTATTCCGGCATTGCACAACCTTCCAAAACTGTTTGTTTTCCAGACTTTGGCAATTGCGTGCCAAAAATGACATTTGCCTGCAACAACGGCAGTGTTTTGCATGCTGAGGTGTGCCGGCAATTTTCTTGTCAATCCGAAGATAGTCAGCACATGGAGCCCTGGCGGCAAACGTCAAACCTTGACAGCGCGTTTTTTTTGGCAGCATGTGTGCCATACGTGAATGGGCTCGCATGCCACTTTGCAATATGTTTCTACGTTTTTTGGTTTCCGACTTAGCATATGTTTGCAGTTCATACATTTTTTCCAGATCAGTGACTTGATGCATTTGCTGCTAGCTCACCAACCCAGAGCTGTGAGGCGCAAAACTGACAATTCCATAAATTTGAGCTGGCGTCTGTGCAAGGACGCGCTCCTCCAGGCGAGCTTGCAGCTGAGGGAGGCCGAAGTGCGTCTCCGAGAGCAGAATCTGGAGATGCGGGAAAGAGCTGTGAAGATGCAGGAGGACTGATTTGTTTTTGGTTTCGGGCGGAATGCAGGAAACAAGCTTCTTTTCTAACACATATTAGCAAAGTATGACATGGTTGTGTTAATTCAAAAGAAGGCACGTGGACGAACCCAAACAGTCACCGTGGTTAGATGTGGTTAGATTTTGTGCGTGTGCGTTGCCTTCCGTTGCATGCAGCTAACGGTTGTCATTGTTATCATGTTGGCCTCTACCAAAACTATTTGGCTGCGACCAGACTCTTGCAATGCCATTCTTGCATTTGCCATAAGTGTCAGGTGAACTCTATTCAAAGCTGCGGAAGTGCTTGCCACTGCACGAGGAGGAGCACTGCAGTCGTCAAGACGCACCGATGCAGCGGCCGCCAATGGGCGCAGGCGGGAGTTGATGCAGCTGAGGTGGTGAGGCGCATTGTGTTCCCTTGAGTGGATTCCTGGACATGGTGTGCCTCTTCAATCCTTCAGCCCAGGGTCAGCGCGCTCTGCCTCCCCACCGCCCAGCACCAAGGCGGGATTTGGAGTCATCGGCCTTCAGTCGATGACCAGGTCCGGGCTAACATGGGGCAGCACTGGCAGGAAGGGAGCCTTTTGGAAGGACTCCCCCACCTGGTTCCCCATGACGTTTTCATGCTGCTCGTTGGTTGCTGTCAGAGCAAAGCGAACAAATTATTTCCGGTTGGACCAACGTTTGTCATACCAGGATTGATTTGTTCCACTAGAGAAGACTTACTGGAAGAAATTGCACTTTTGGATGTCTGGCAAACGTGCTATTTCCTTCGGGCATGCTCGCGGTGATCTGACTTGGCTGTGTTGACAGGGGCCTTGCTCTTGTGCAACTTGGCAGCATTATGTCAGCATATTATATGTCAGCAGTCGAATTGTGCGGGACATGGTTCTGGCATGATGTCAATGTCTTGCATCGAGCACAAGCGACATGAAAACAGATTGCTGGATCGGCAAGTCATGGGTAGTATGAATAGGACTGTGTTGATGTGGGTGCTGGACTGCAATTTGCTTGTTGGGATGAAAGTGAATGTTGAAAGTGCGGCATGCAAGTTGTGACATGGTCGGACCAAATCATTAAATCAGCTTATCAACCTTGAAGCAGTAGTTCTAGATCCCAAACTACGACTGTTGCGGGATTGTTGGAAGAATGATTTGCGGCCAAGGCATGGCTTTCAGGGTCATGTTTGTTTTTAGATCCATGGAATGTGACTCTGTGCCGAGAACCATTCTCCACCGGTACCGTCACACCCGCTGCGCCAATCTCGCACCTCACTCCCTCCCAGCGGAGGCCGGGCAGGGATAGATACCTCGGTGGAGTCAAGGGATTGAGATGGTTTCTTCTTCCCACATCAAAAAGAAAAGCCCGGAGCTTGAAGCGCCAGGGTGCGCCGGGTTGTGTTGCAGGGAGGGAGGTGTGGTGAGAGGGGTTGGCTCAGCCCATAGCCTGGGATGTCCTAGCAAAGATGTCGAACATGGTGTTGTTTGTTCATTATCCCTTTTGCCTTGTTGGTTTCCTGCTACAGCATGCGTTGGAATATTGTGCACTGCAGGTAGGTCCTTCTCGAGCAACAAAGGGTGCTGATTTGACAACGGGATATTTTACATACAAGCAAGAGCCTGTGCTCGGCCTGACTCAGCCTGCCTCAGCCGGCCCTTGGTAGGATACCGTCGATATTTGTTGCAAGGGATTGTTGCTACACTGAAACCCAGGAGTTCCGGCGCAGTAGAACAAGAACAGACATTTTTTGTAGCGCAGCAATTTCAGACAGGGCGAAGACGTCTCCGCCTGAGGCGCGCCAAGGCCAGCGATGGTGTCGCCGCCTACGATGCACCGTGCAGATCCTAGGCGCCCAAGCTGCGGGCACTTGGGTGGTTGTGTCCGTGTGCAGCGGCATTGCGTTAGCGTTTACAGCTCCGATGCAGTCCGGAAACCTTAGTTGTCAGATTGGATGGCGGGTTCAGCACCTCAGTTTGGGGGTCCATGAGGCGATACCTCAGTTCCACTCAGTCGATGTCAGTCTGTCATTGACTCATGCCCTGTTTGCAATGCGATGCCAGATAAAGACTGCAAGTATCAAACAGTAGACTTACAGGGTTGGAATGGAGCCTCAGATTTGATCTACATTCCTGCAATGAAAAGCGTGTATGCTGCAAAGTGCCGTTCAACTATCTCAACCAGCTTGGACAGCCAGCTTTGGAATTGAGAGTCAGCCAATTTTTAAGTCAATCCTTTGCAGGTGAACGTGTTTTCTGGCTAGCATACACTTTGATAAAGGCTGTGAACCCCCGCGGGGCTTGCCGAGACCGCTCTTTGCGCCTGCCCCAGCAAAGAATTTGCTGACAGGCTCTGAACAAACACATGCTCCTCTCATTCATGGCAGTTGCGCCCAAAGTGGGTGACGATTGGCTTGGATGATGGCCTTTTGCAGTGACTGGCCACATGGTTAATAATGCTGGCTGGAACGGTGTGAAGCTTGTCACCATATTGTCCTGACAGAGTTGTTTGCGCTCAGGCTTGTTTGGCTCGTTAGATGCTGCCAGGGTTGTTTCTCGCACACTGCCAGGCACCCTGGTACGCCGGTGGTGGAAGGTCGTCAGCCAGCGATGCATGATCGCCATACTGCCTGCTGGGTGGTCAACCCGCAGATGCCCGTGCGTGGCGCGCGTGCACCATCGCCAGCCGTACCTTCAGCAGCAAATGGAAGAGAAATGTGTGAAGCTTATGTTAGTGCAGGTGTTTGAACATGGCAGTCATGAAAGACCGTTCCACCAGCATCCTTGATTGAATTGTTCAATCAATTATTAGAGATTGGTGGGGTTGCTACAGCCACATAAACATGATCGAAGAGGGGGGGTCATGCGGTCAGTTTAAGTCTTTTGGCGGCAGCAAGATCTCAGTGCCAGACAAGTCTCGAAAGCAGTTGAAACATATCTAAGAGCTTGGCTACATATATTGCATAGCCGTTCTTCAGTACTCCACTGACATGAGTTGCTGTGTTTGCTGCCTGAGTCTGACTGCAGTGACACCTGCATCTCCCGATTGTGTAGGCGTACAGGAACCCGCTGGTTGCCCACTTTGCACATCAGGCAAACACAACAAAAAACCAAAAGTGAAATAATAGATGGTTCTGCTGAGCCTTTGATGGGCGCACTTCGCGGCCAAGTCTAAGCCCTGCTTGTCTCAGGTGTCACACGTGCCAGGAGCTGCCGGGCGCAAATTTATGGGGTTTTGCTGCATTCAGGAAGAAGGAGCCGGCAACAATGGTAGGAAGAACTCCAAAAGCAGAAGCCTTTCATCGTGAACTTTCAATTGTCGGGCAATTCCGCTGAAACTGTATGCGCATATTGCGTCCTCATGAATTCACAGCAGAATATCACATTCGAGCTGCCATGGAGTTGAGCAGCAGGAAGGTTCCAGTTCCCGCAACTGCAAGGTTTCTATAAGGCGCTTCTCGAGCGACTCGCGCCGTGCGGGGGGCCAAAGACTGAAGTGCATGGTGCCGGAGCAAGCTTTTTGACGGACCCTCACTTCAGCTCCGGAGTGATAAAGCGGCAAAAAGCAAACTATGGTCAGAGAGAGGGGCAAGGCGAAAGACACCGTGAGAGGCCTGCAGTTCATGCCACCTTATGGGGAAACGTGCGGAGCCACTGAGGTCCCAGGGGCAGACGGAGGACTGGCCTGTAAACAGCTGGTGTTCAGTGAAACAAGCATGAGTTCAATCTCTTTAGGCATGTTGAGGAATTACCGCACCACTCAGGACACAACTGGAGACCCTCGTTTTGCGACTCTTTGTTATAGTAGCATATGCCAAGCTTTGTATACATGGGACGGAGAAGGTGTAGATGTGGACACCGTCGTGCAGAGGGTGGGCAAGGTCGGGTGGGGATCGCAATGAGGCACAGCACGTGCCCTTCCAGATTAAATGTTGCAAACCACTGTAGGCAGTTTGTCCACTGTTTTTGAGTTCGCAAGCCAACCACATCCTGAATCAAAAGGTGTTTGACTCAATGTGTCGAATGTGAAACTACGATTTCTTTGCGGAAGACTTCTTGGAGTGCGCGCAGGCATCATGTCATGATCTACCAAAGATATGTTGACAGCACGAGTTGTTTTTGCTGTGTGCCCAATGCGACTTACATGCAATGCATTCGCGAGGAGGCGAGGAGGGTTGAACTTACCCACCTCCGGCAAGTTTTGCCATGCGTAAAATGACACTTTCAGTGACCTTAGAGTATGCACACCACAAGAGTTATCTCGTCAGGCAATAATGCTTGCGTTTGAGAGTTCAGTGTTTGACATTGCAAGCAAAGCATGTTCAGGTTGTTGGCAAAATGGAAAGCACTACACAAGCCAGGATGCATGCATGATTCTGTGGAGCCTGCACGTTTTCACATTTGAGACCACACTGTAGTTTATCGTATCCAACCATGCTTTGGTGATCATACATGCCAGCAAGGATAGGGCTGCTCCGCCGGCCGGTTGAGCAGCTGGAAACTCAGAGTTGACCTTGCCTTGCAGCCTTCATCGGGCACAAAGATTGTGTGCTACAGCCTGAGGGTTCAAACAAACAGCCCTCGGAGCTGCCTGCAGAGAAAGCCAAGCGTTGATATTAATGTCTCTCCATGCGTAGATTCGAGTGTAGCTAGTTTCATTTGGCAGCTCGGTTGCTTCGGTGCAACGCAAGTTTTTTCTTTGATAGTGTGCAATAATTTTCAGGGCCAAAGAAGGATCAGCTTCAAGCCAGGCACAGGCCAAACCCTGGCGCCGGATTGAAATTCCGAGCTCCAGCATTTGGACGCCGCTGCTCTCGTCAACTTTTCCAATCAAATACATGGCACGCGTTGCAGGTTCTGCCAGTGGGCAGCGAGCCATGAAACAGGGGATGCTCATGTTTGCTCGGATAAATCATGATTGATGTCATGAAGCTGGCTGCCCGCTGATGTTCAGTCGCAGAATTGGCAACTGCGATGCTTGACTCCGACCCCAGTGCGCCTTGCTGGAAGTTGACCTAGTGTCGCTGCTGTGTCACGAGTGCTAATGCAGCCAAATGGTCAGAAGGTCACATCGGAAAAGAACGCTGCATGCTGCTCTTGAACCAGGTGTTTGATTTCTTCAAGGTGTTCAGCTCTGAGCGGCACATGACCAAAACATGCTGATTCATTTCAGCCCGGCAGCATAAAGGTACATGATTCCTTACAGAGTCTGTGCATGCAAACTGCTGCCTTTTTGCCGCACTGCTACCCCGAGAGGCAAACCAGTATATTAATATAGAGCCTTAGCACAAACCAGCACACAGGTGTAATGTAACGGGTTTGCAAACCCGTGTGAGCCGCCAAGTAGAACATCACAGTTCAACCACCTTGACAGCAGCATACTTAGCGCCACAACTGCAAAGAAATACCTACAGTGTGCTGGGCTTGAACATGGCATGTCACAACAATACAACACGTGTTAGCGCTGAAAGGAGAGAAGTGGGGCTGGCTGATGCCTTGCCCCTCGCCTTGCCCCTCGCCTGCGGGTAGTCCCGCGCAAATGGCAGGCGTGCTGTGGGGCAAGTATAATTTTACAGATTGTTGCGCAGAAGAAATGGGCATCCTTCATTCTTCTATGCCCTCTCGATAGTACAGAACTCGTTGTCGCTTGACTTTGCACAGGTGCTGTGGTGCCAGTGCCAGATCCCTCCGTCGATTTGGGTAGCGGCTGGGGTCTTAAACAAAGGGACACATTAGACTGCCCTGGGCTTGCCTTATCCTGTGCTCAAAACTCGGAACAGCAGCGAAATGAGTTGCCCACATGGCGTACCTCATGCGTGTGTTGTCAAAGGTCAAGACGCTGTTCTGAGGACTCGTGCCATGGTCTTGGCAGCCAAGGGACTCATACCCAGGCGCGATGGGTTGTTTTTTCACAAAACGCCCTTGGGCCATGCCGGGACCGAACTGGGGACTGGACCTGAGCACAGCGGCATGTAGCCCTTTGCCTCATATTGTGGAGTTTCATGACGGCTCGCAATAGCACTCAAGCAGGATATCGGAATTCACGGCAAACGTGCCAATGATTTGCTGCTGATGCACTCAGTTTAGCTTCAAGCCAGTCAGCAGCTATCCAGGTTCCGCAGATTTCACAGGCCGGGCTTGGTCGCCGTGGTTGAGAGCCAGCGACATGTCGCTGCTTGTGGCTTGGGGCCAGCATTTGTCGCATAGTGATGTTTGGCCCGCGGACAGCAATGATGTGTTTCCTGCGTAAACTGCTGCTTTGCAGCCTCATTTTTTTTCTCGATTGAGTTGTTGTTCTGTTTCAGCCGGGGAATCAGTTTAGCGACAGCTCTCCAATGGTAAGGCCCTTCATTGATGTTTTTCCCACTTCAGCAGAGGCCCAACCGCCACTTCCAACATTGGGGGTTTCCTTTGATTGTCCAATAAAGGCCAATGCCTTTGCAAGCAGTCCAAAGAAAGTTCAGAGAACCGGCAGCATGTGCCTAATCCGCTTGTGCTGATTGTGGTGGTGAGAGCCAACGGCCGTGCGTCAGATGTCCTTGCGGCTTCCTTCGTGACACCATTTTAACTGAACGCACAAGGAAGCGTCCCACAAGGGACCCACAGGGACGACATGTGGCACTGCCCCAAACGCAAATTTCTCAGTTGGGACATTGAGCTGGCTGCATGGCCGAAAGTTCGGCATATCTTAGCAGGTACGTGCTACGGATCCCCACTCATGGGGGTCATTTTCCTAGTGCCCCTTGAAATCTACACGCCGCATGGTCCTTGGGTCAACGGAAATCAATGGAACACGTCTCAGGAGAGCCCTACATGGCGCAGAAGATCCTGGCCCTGGAGGAGCAGCTTCTGATGGCCAGGCGGAAATCCGCGCCTTGCGATACCGCTCTAATTTGATTCACCCAGAGGGCCTGCCTCACTTTCAACAGTGGCAGTTTTTTGTTGGGAAGCCAACAGCAAATTGTCATTTGGAGGGGGAAATCTAGACATTTGCTGACCTTAGTCGCCCTCGAGAGTTCTTGTGTCAGGTAAACAAGCCAAAACAACCATAGACCACCGGCAACACTTCTTTCCAGCTTGGCATGAGGGCGTCCACCGTCGCAGTGAGCTGTTGGACAAAGAAGTGAAATGGTTCGCAGGGGAGAGTTTGTAAAGCAGCTCAGCAGAAGGAGTGCCCTTCTCAGACGGTCAGCAAGCTATGAAGGTGGCCAGCGCGGCCAGCCAATGAGCTAGACTAATTTCACTGACACACCCCACATAGGCTGTAGCTTGGAGCCAAGCCAACTGAGTCATTCGCGAGGACAGGCCTATTGTTCAGGAAGAGTTGTACAGTCTGGGGGGGGGGGGCACGGCGGCAAACAATACAAAATATTCATTGGCTGAGCATGCCGAGTCAAGAAGCAGGGCAGGAGAAGGGCACTCCTTTCACCCCAGTTTGGTTGCATGCTTCCCACTCAATGGGAACCCACCTTGCGGACACCAGCTTACCATGTTCGCACTGATCTACGGCGGAGTGCTGAAAAGCTTGAATGCTTGAACCGGGGTTGGAATCATTTGGGAGGTCGCCATTTTATTTTCTCGTGGTAAGGCGAGATCGTGGGGAACTCGAGCTTCGAGTTAGCCGAGTTGGCGAACAGCTTGACCGGATTTGGCAGGAGACATCATGATGCCGAGCAGGCAGAAGAGAACTCACAGGTTTTCCAAGCCTCCAAGCAAAGGGGTGGTTCAGTTCATATGCGATTCCCCTGAGATGCAAGTAGCATGGCCGCGCTCGTGTGGCGATCTCAGACTCCACTGAGCCGTTGAAACTCAAACGGTTCACTTTGAGCTTGGCTCGCCCATCTCCAGGCTTGCCTGTTATCCGAGGTCTCAAGTCTCAAGACTTCAAACCTTCTAAACTTTTTGTTATAAAAGTTACGGAGCAAAAGAGGCCAATCATGAGACGCGTTTGTGCGCACGCGCAACATGTGGGTCCTGCCACTTGCCAGTTGGGTGTAAAGCTGTTATTTACAGCCCCAGGACCTAGCCGACGAACGCCGTGAGCGTCAGGTAGAAGCCAACGAGGACCCAGACGGTTTTTTTCGCTTTTCACAGCGATATGTGCATCCTTTGACATTGGATTTGGTTAGCACCTGGAACAACTGATGTTTACAGAGACCTTTACGTGAGTTTACATGAGCGATCATCATTTCCAAGGGTGGAGGAACAGCGTTCAATCCTAGGCCGACACGTTGGTAATGCTTTCGAAGATGTGTTCATTTGTCAGTTGTTTGCAATTACTTAGACCATTTTGCTTACAATTACTTACTTAGACCATATGTTTATGTACACGTTGCACGAAGCTTTCACTGACCCAGTGCCAAAGAGCTCTGGAGATGTAAATTGTTGAACATCCTGGCCCCGCTATTCGATCCTAGGAGCGCATGCTGCGCATGTCAGAGACGGCCGAATTGAGATGCTCAGCCTGCACTTGGGGATTCCGGGGGGCACCAGGTGCATTCACAGATCTTCATGGCATGCGTTGATAAAGGCTTGATGCTCAATGCCCCAAGAACCAGGAATATCATGGAATATCTATACATCGCCCTTAATCGTTTCATTGGCTTTCACCCACGTAGGCATCAGAGTATTTCCTATTTTGCGGGCAATGTGAGGAGAGGGCTTGGAAAAGCTCAACAAGGCTGGCGCAAGACGTGGCAGAGATCCAAGCAGAACTTCTAGCGTTTCTCTCAAAATTGGGAGTGCTCCTTTTTGCATGCAGGGAATTCTTAAAAGAAACCATTTCTTTGGATAGGTTTCCGATTTGAGAGCTGGCAGGCTGTGCGCCTGGATTCGGAGATTGGAATTGTGAACGACATCCCTGTGCTTGAGACCTTTCTGGAAGAGGAGCCGGAGGAGCGCAGGAAAAAATAAGTTGGCATTGATGGCCGGGGTGTTCAGAGGACAGGTCTGAATGTGAGCATGCTGTGCACTGTGGTGCCTGCAGTGCTTTGTGCGGTAAGCTTGATGAACTAGGTGAAGAGGGGATGCATATTATTTTCCCCAACCAAATTGTCTCACGTATACTGGTGCAAACACGTGAGTGTGCCGCCATGTGCAGGATCAGCAGATTCCAGAGCTCACTGCAGAAGGTGTCCAGGCGTCCATACTGAATTTCGGAAGAGATTCAGTCAGTGGCATATATATATATAATACCCCCCCCCAGTACCCAGGTGTTGTTGCATCATGTATCAAAACCATTGATATTTACAGTGAATTTTGATCGAATTCATGCATTTTCTGCAATGCCATTTTGTGGACCAAAAAAACCAAAAACCAAAAAACCAAAAAAGCAAAAACCAATCCTAGCCCCCACCATGGCTGGGATTCTTTGGTTTTTTGGTTTTTTGGTCCGGGGAAATGTTGCGCAACAAATTCCAAATGTTGCGCAACATTTGCGGAGCGTGATGAGAGGATATGTGAACCTTTGTGAAAGAAGGCATGTTCTGGGTGAGAGGATATGTGAACTTTCTGTAGAGAAGAGTTATTGAACAAGACATGTTTTGTGTTAGATGATATGTGAGTCTTTGTGGAAGAGTCAGGGTTACAGTGATTCAGAAAAGTACAGAAAAAGACAGTAAATATCATGTAAAACCACCATTTATGTAACAAAACCTGTCCCAGCCATAGCTTGGTTTTATTCTACACAGGGGTCCCTTTCCTTGGCAATTCTTTCACATATGCTGCCTTTGTTTCATTCAAAGAAGACATGTAAAAAGACAGGTGTTGGGTGAGAGGATGTGTGAATTTTCTGTGGAAGAGTCTTTGAAACAAGGCATGGTTTGTGTGGGAAGATATGTGAACTGAATTTTGTGTGGAAGAGCCATTGAAAAAGGGCATGGGTTTGGTGAGAGGATATGTGATTCCTTGTGAAAGAAGGCATGCAAAAAGACATGTTTTGGGTGAGAGGATGAAAGAATTGTCTGTAGAGAAGAGTTATTGAAAAGACATGCTTTGTGTGAGATTATATGTGAATATTCTGTGGAAGGGTCTTTGAAAGAAGGGGGTTGTGTGGGAAGATATGTGAATTTTATGTGGAAGAGCCTTTGAAAAATGACATATTTTAATGAGAGGATATGTGAACCTTTGTGAAAGAAGACATGTTCTGGGTGAGAGGATATGTGAATTTTCTGTAGAGAAGAGTTATTGAAAAAGACATGTTTTGTGTGAGATGATATGTGAGTCTTCGTGGAAGAGTCAGAGTTACAGCGATTCATAAAAGTACAGCAACAGACAGTAAATATCATGTAAACCCACGATTTATGTAACACAAACTGTCCCAGCCATAGCCTGGCTTTATTCTACACAGGGTTCACTTTCCTTGGCAACTCTCTTTCACATATGCTGCCTTTGTTTCATTGAAAGTTTTACATGTGTTGGGTGAGAGGATGTGTAAATTTCTGTGGAAGAGTCTTTGAAACAAGGCATGGTTTGTGTGGGAAGATATGTGAATTGAATTTGTGTGGAAGAGCCATTGAAAATGGGCATGGGTCACGTCCAAGGCGTGTTTCTTCAATGAGGCAAACCTCCTTCCTTTGGTCTCCCAGTGTGCAAATCTGAGCTGTTCTTCCTGCCTGCTTTCGCGGTCAAAGCACATCTGAACCAAGCCCAAACCTGGGTACCTGGGGGGGGGGTAGCATATATATATATATTATGACGGCAACAAACTCGGTTAGCATCGATTTGATCGTTTTTTGTCAATTGCTGGCTGCCTTTGTCCCAGCCTGACAGACTTGCAACCATCAGGCAGTGCGAAGACGGGGGAAGACAGCAGTGGAGTCCGCTGCCAAGCATGCTGAGGCGGGTAGGCAGAGATCACCGGCTATGTTTGGTTTGAGGATGTTTGAGGCAAAGGCCTACGGCTCAACATGATTGTGTTACTCAGCTCTATCAAGATGTGCCAGGCATAGCGTAGCGCTCTCCATACAGCTGATCGCTGGCTACGAAACACTGGTTTGCCCTTTCTTGCAATCTTGTCTAGACTGCCAGTCGTGTGCCAGGGCCCATGAGGCTCTCCCGCATCTGGCTTGCATTACAGGCGTTTTTGGACGGAACACGTTCAGAGCTAAAAAGGTGGCCATGGTGGCCTTTGCCTATTGAAGGTAAGCCCCAAGCGCGGATGGGCCATGCCACTTGCCCGGAGCACAATACGTTTCCTCCATTGGGCGTTCTTAACATGAAGGGAATCGACTGACAACTTCGGGTTTCTCCAAAGCACCGTGTCGTTTGTGCAGAATCCCGGGCGAAGCGCCAGGCGCAGCTGAAGCGGGTGGTGGCAGACGCCAAACGCGCGGAGGCGATGGTGCGTCGTGAGGTAGGCCGTGCCATCGCAGATGCGCGGGCGTGGGGGCCTCAAAATGTTGGGGCCGTGTAGGTCCAAGGTTTCCACGTGGTATGAAACCATTGTGAAGGCCAACACGTGTAGGACCGTGTATCGTGCAAGTGCACTTCATCGCAACACATGCATCAAAGGAACAGAACATTGTCCAAAGTCGATTATGCATGCAATGTATCGCATGTTGTCAATTCGTACCGCAAATCATGGAACATGCTCCCTTGGAAGAAACCACCTTTGCAACTCCGGTGTTTGGAGTCTTCGGCGCGGCAAGTACTGTGTGTGATATTTTCGTTTATAACACTTTCTCTAGCAATTGAACGAGGCCTTGTCCAATGCAAAAGACACTCTGGCTTGTTAAAACTCAGTGTTCGCGTTGCTTTCGCCGAGGTATTTGGAAGACACAGGCCATCAGCAACAGGAGCCAGCCAGCTTGCCCGCAGCTCTGACCGCCACAGTGAATCTAGCACGGAGCACGGTGATCGGTCGTTCCATCAAGTGACAGTTGCTAACCGTATTTCACTAGAAAAGGTGGCATTGTGGGTTGGCAGCGTAGCAGATGTTGGGCCAAACCTTCTCACTAGTAGTGAGGCATGTGAGGCCAAACCTTCTCACTAGTAGTGAGGCCATCAGCGTAATCACGGGCACAGCACGCCTCGGTATTGCGGTGGCAGATATTCCTCCAGGAGTTCTGGGCTGCCCGGCAGCGCATGGCAGCCTTCTCCAGGGTGACTCAGCGATCGGGGGGATGAGACAAGTGGGGCCCATAGCACGTGGGTGCGGCTTTTGGGGATTCTAACAACTAGCCTTTTTGGGGCTGTTTTAGAGGGTCCCCCCCATGTAAAGACAAACCCGTGTCTCCAAGGGAAGTTAATGAGTTGTTCAGCAAAAGGAGCTTGGGATTTAGGACCCCAGAACTGGTCTCCAAATTTCAAGGAGAGATATGCGCGCTGCCGTTCTGCTAGCTCCGTTTTCAATGGATGCAGCCAGATTTCGACATTTTGTTGCATGTCATAAAGAGTGCTGATGAGTTGTCGCAAAAGCTAGCGGTAGCCTGGAGTAGAGTGACCGGCAGCGCCAAGTCCCTGCAGCATGTAATGTATCACCGCTTTGAGGTGACCTCTGAAACCCATTCTTGACATGTTCTTTCCCAGGGATGTTGATTTGTTTGAATCGTGAACATTTGCCGATTCAAGTTGAATGCGCTTGGAACTGGATGATGATATGTCAACTGCAATGTGAGCAAGTGAGTTGAAGTGTAATTACGAGGTTGACCCCATGCTTCAAATTGCAAGAATCAGTTTCCGAGTTTCAGAAGAACGAGTTCCCAGCAGCTGAGGGTTTGCCACTGCAACGCACAAAACAACAAGCACCGAGCTTCCTTGGAGGCCATGCCAGGAAAGATGCCTACCAAATTCACTAATGACTATCTCGAATGAATCAAGCTGTTCCCCGCAAGGTTGAAGGATTGAGGCTTTTTATCCTGGCTCAACATTAGTCAAAGCAAGCATGGGCACTGCTGAAGCTAAGGAGAGCTCAAAAGCCAATGGCGATGCGTCCATGGAATGCCTGGCCTTGCGCCTGGACAGTCTGGAGATGCACCTGCGAGCGAGGTTGGAGGCCAATGAGCGAGGCTTCGATTCCATCCAGCAGTGCGTCGACAGTCTGCAGTCCATGCCCTCCCAAATGGAGGGCCTTCTCGGCCACTCAGACGAATCCTAGCCTTTGATATGCAGTTCAGATTCCGCTTAATAGGTGTGCCTTCGTGAGTATACTGGCTGGGGTGTGTTGAGCGGCCCAATGCCCGTCGGCAAATCGTTCCCTCAACCAAGATGAAGCGAATGTCTGCCATTCTGCAATTTGAGTTTGGGTGCTCCTCGCGCATATCCCTTGCTGCAAATTAATTGTTGGAGGACCATTGTTCATTTGTGGCAAAGTCTGTCGCACTGCATCCGTGTGCTTTCAGCAGGTTGCATGAATCATGTTTCACCCTCACCAGAACCTAAGTAGACCATGACATACGGTATCCTGCAAAGCACTTCCCTTTGATAGCGATACTTGTTGACACGGTCACGTCTAGATCTGTGATTGCTTTTTCAGGTTCCACATCGGATCTCCCAGTTGTTGCTTCAGGCCAAGAGATCGAGGGCGTACGCGTGGAACTGAAGGACTCGCAAGAAAAGCTCCGCCTGGAAATCAGCCAAATGGCGAGAGGGGAGATGGAGCAAAAGGTGAAGCAGGCGGGCTTGTGCTTACACCGATCAAACGAGATATCATAAATATCAGCGTGTTTGACCCCAAATGCAACTTACACGTGTTTGAAGCTGCGCATCGCATCCACTCAACAGCAAATACAGCACCTCAGCGCACAAGAGAGCACAAATCCATCAAGCGAAACCATCGTTGCTTGTGGTTTTCACGGCGCTTCGGGGCAGTTTCTTTGGAACTAAACGGGAATGTTTATATTATTGTTCTTATTATTCAAGGGCTGCGTCCGGCAAGCACTGGCTGTTTGGCAAAGAACAGGTTCGACCTTTTTCTCAGGGGTTATGGTAAGGTTTCGTCCCCCAGGGGGGGGGGGCTTGGTGGCTGGGCTGGAGGCGGGGCCGACCCACCCCACCCCGCCCTGCGCCGCCGTACAGGGACTGATGTCTGCCAGATTTTTTTGAGGTGTTCCCCGTGCAATTCCGCCAGGGCCTAACTCAGCATCAGACTCGCTGCGCTTGAAGCCCAATATGAACAACACGAAATCAAACAATAGCACGTTAAATGATATGAAATGTATCAATAGCGCGCAATAAGACAACATATTGAAAATGATGATGACCATGATGATAGGATGATTATGGCGGTAAGGATGATGAGATGACGGTGATGGTGATAGTGATGATGACCATGATGCTCGTGATGATGACCATGACGATGGTCAGGATGACGATAATGGCGATGATATTGATGGCGATAGCGATGACTATGAAGATGATTAATATGGCGATGACTCGTTTTCTTAGCTTCAAAGGAAAACCGCTTGCCTTATTGTTGCTGCCTCTCTCGGCTTCAAGCCTGCCGGCGTCTACGCAAAAAGTCTGCATCACCACTGGGGTCTAACGTTTGCATTCCATATAGTGAAATAGTTTGGAAATGAAGCATCATGATGGATGATGATGACGATGATGGTGATGACGAAGATGAACATGACGATGGCGGCGATGCAGAAAAATATGTTCTTTGCGCAAGCACTGGTGATGCCGAGGGTGTCACCCACTGTATCACAAACTATTGCGACATGCACTTAGTATTTATGCCAAAAGCATGTTTGCCTCCCCACTGGTGAGTGGTGATGCTGGAGGGTTTCGACCAGTTTATCTACAAACTATGGCGACATCGGACAAGCCGATGTTTCTTTGCCACGCCTCCCCTTTTCAGAGAACGGGTCGGCGGATCGCTCATGCCATTGGCAAAATGATCCCACGTTCTGTTGACAGCAGTGTTCGTGAGGTAGTACAGTTCGTTTTCAATCTGTTGTTCTGTCCTAGGCGGCGAAAGATTTCATGAAAGGGAATCTATCATTTACGATCTCGCGAAAGGCTCGCAAATGGGGGCTACCGAGTCATACTTTGTTGTGTCCGCGGCTGAGAACAGCAAGCGACGAATCATGATTGATAAAGTCTTGTTGGATAGAAATCAACAAGCCATTTGAGACTTTGGCAGGTCTCCTGTTTGAAAGGCGTTGGCTTGTACCTTTGGCCTCAGGCCATTGCAGAGGTCCGCACAGAGATAGCCACCACGCTGCAGCTGGAGGCCAAGCAGATGCGGGAGGAGTTTGCGCGCTCACGCTCGGATGAGGCAGGATCACGGCCAGAAAAGAGAAGACAACTTCAGACACGCCGGCACGTCTCCAACATCTTCAACTTTTGAGCTTCGCACTCAAGCCGCGTGTAAACAGTTGAAGAACTGCCAAGAAATCGGCCATGGCCTCTAGATCCTGTAGATCCAGCCGCCTCTCTCCCCACGTAAGGGAAACATAAGTTGCACATGGCTGTTTGCAGCATGGAGTAAATGGTGGGAGCTACTACTAACGTTTCGTATTATACCGGATATGTGTTGGAATAGAGCCAGCGTTCCCAACAACGAACTTTCAATTACCGTAGGCGAGAAGCAACCGGAGTCTTTAGAGTGAATGAAACGGGTAGACCCCAGCTGTCAAGCGCAGAATGCTTGCAAAGCACAAGCTGCCAATAGCGACACAGACATGTCACACATGCGGGAAGAGGCACGCCTGACCGACAGCCTTGTAAAACGAAGGTGATTTTTAAAGCATGGATTTTGAGATATTCCGGTTTTGGCACATACTGATTTTGATGGCGCAGACAATTTATCAATTTATAATTTGTAAGTGATGCTGTCAATGTGAGGCATACCGCCAGACCCTTCGCATTCACGCTATGGAGGAGCGCCGCTGGTTTGCAAGAGCGTTTGTGGATTAGCAGGAACGAATCTATGAGGCTGCCAGGCATCACTTGCCAAGGAATTGCAGCGATGGAGAGTGGTGACGTGCCGGTAAACAAGCATGGTGACGAGGCTGGAACTGATGCATGTCGGTGGGGGAGAATTGAGTGCCACTGGCTGGGGCGGTCCTTTGCAGTCGGCTTCTATGACACGGCAGGCCAGTGGTGTGGTGGCGCAGCTCAAAGAAGGCCTGGAGGAGATTGGGACCTCCCTGATCAACCTGCGGAAAGAGACGCCAAGCTATCAAGCTAAGCTATGAGATGCCCTCCAGACTGTTGGTTGGGGTGAGTTTTGTTGCGTGGCACTGCCCTTGATTTCGCTGTCCACATTCAGTAGGTCAAAACATGGCCGTGCATTTGCGGCCCCGCCTCGTGTGCAACTGAGAGAAAAACATGTTGGTCCACAGCCGAGTAATTTGAGAGTTGTTTAAAATGCTAGTCAAGCAAGCACAGACAGAATTGCTTACATATTGTGGTCACCGTGGTCCGTACGGATCCTTCCTTGTCCTTCATGTCATCCCGCTCGTTGACCGTGTACTTTCGAATCATTCTGTGCGTTCAACTGCCAGTCAAGGAAGGTCCAGCGAACCTTCCCTTTCCCACACTCGTTCGCATGCAAGGATCTACCTCGGAAGCAGTCAGGGACCGGATGTCAAGATAAAAACTGTAAATAATGGGCTACCTTCAGAGATTCCACGGTCACATCCACGGTCACATCCCTCCCATCTACATCTCAAGTCCTCGATCTTGTAGTGGTAGCGTTGGCCCAGCTTGGCCTTCGGTTGTCCTTCGCACGGACACAGGCAGATCTGGCTCAGACAGTGTCTTCCCTGTTCAAGAAAGAACAACACATGGCTTGGTGAGGGTCGCAGTGAACCTTTCCTCAATTTAACCAGGGTGGGCGGGCAGTTTTTGCACGGCCTGACTGCTTCTTGCCAAGGAATTTGCAGTCGCGGCTCGAGGCGGCGTTTGGGAGTGTTTCTTTGTAGGCATTGGCTGCCGGTTCGCCGTTTTTCAACTACTGGTTTGGATTATACGGTGTCAGAGGCTCGGGGCGGATTCAATGTTGTAGTAGGGCCGTACTGAGACTGGACGTGCATGCCTCTATTCAAACTGACTGAATCAATCAGGCGGCCTTAAGAGGCCTTGTTTTGGTGCAGGCTCAAAGTGAGGTGAAGTCTTTGAGGAAGGCAGGGTGTGGAAGTAGCAGCCTTGGGTTCGATTTGAGATGCGGCCGCGGTTTTGGTGTGTCGTACCCAAGCTCACTGCTTTCAAGTCCAAACTGTTTGGCCTTAGTCACAGGATCTGGATGAGATCGCCCGGCGCATGACGGAGAGTTCTGCAGCAGACCTGGCGGACTTACACCAACGCTTTAATTTGGTGGAGGAGAAGCTCCTTGGAGACTCTTAACATCAATGTGGTTGGCATGCGGTCGATTGCTTTCCACGGCACAACTGACAATTGTTTGACTATTGTGTTGGCTGGTGTTGCCTGTGATGCTTTTCGATAACATGTTTTGTCCTGTCGCCACAAAATCGCCATTCAAGGTTGCGCGTCGTCGAGTCAAGTTCGTGCGTGAAGACAGAGGAGCCACGGGTGATGAGCTCAACTTGTTTGGTACAGAACATGATCGTCGGCTGTTTGTTCGAGTCGGCAAGGGACAATGCAATGTCACTGCTTAACAAGGGGCTGTGATCTCAGAAAGAAAATTGTTGTTGCATCTTTGTGCCGGAACAGTCGCAGACTTGTGCATACCTCGAAAGTGAGATATCACTTTGGCAACAGCCACGGTTGTGGAATTTCATCCACAATGTGCCTAGCTTATCAAACAATGTGTGCATCCCGCTGGTTTGATGCAGGCGACCAACGGCATTGCGAAGGATGGAGAGGATCGAACATGCCGTCAGCAATGACACAGACAGCGTATGCCACATTCAAAAAAATGGGCGGTGATGAATTATTGTTTGGTTCATGGCAATGACATGGCTCATGTATCATGTCGATGTCAGTGCAAGTCGCTCAGGATGAAACGTGGACTTGCACGAAAATCGTTGTTTGCACGTGCGTGACAGGCCATGCAGAACCTCCACCGTCTCAATGATGTCCTGCAGGACTTACTTATGCTTTGGAAGTGTTTTGCCTTGCATGCTGGCGTGTTTTGACAAAAGCACAAGGATTGATCAAATCAGCCCTGGAAGATATTGGACACATGCCATTCGATCTGGCACATAGTCATATTGTACCTGCAAAGTTACAACTCTTCAGCCTCGAGTTTCGCTGAGGAGGTGGACAACATGAAGCGGTGCTTAGAGGAGCTGGCTGTCCGCCTTTGCCAGGAGCGACCCTCATGTCCTGTTATGTCCTGTTTGGGATATGACGGATTTTTAGCCCCGTACCAATTGGGCAAGACTGAGATTTGTGGGTCGGACCGTGGAACGCTTGAGGTCATGACAGAATGACGCCACGCAGGGTTCAAGTTGTACTAGCAATCCTGAAGAGGGGAGGTTGCAGCATGACACTTGGACAGACGGTGTGGTTTGGAAAGGCTTTTCTTTGGAACATACTGAAGTAACGTGACACGTCCAGCATGATTGGTTTACCCCCGGGCCATTGAAGAGGAAAGCAAGCAAGCCGAGTGCCTCGACTGCAATTGAGCATGCGTTGGCAAGCCATTCAGTATCGACTCGGCAGAAGGGAGACTTGACTCCTCAGCACGGGAATCGATTATATTTTGCCATAGGTTTTCATCATTGCTAGTTGTGTTTCAGATATGACTCTCAGGCCGGGCGCGCGCAATGTCCGACCACAGGCCGTGGAGACTTGAGTCAGCAACTAGAATCGAAGCATGGGAGAGATGATAAGTGTGTGATCATGAACCTTTCAGCCCAAATTTGACGAAGGGACTCCAGCTCCTTGTTGGTGACTGACAGGCCCAGGCAACCTCCCCGCCAGCCTCCTATGTGACCCCGCCCATCGGCTCCTGGGCCCAGCCCTTGGAGCGGGAGGGCCAAGCCACACCTTTGGCCTTCGAAAGCGGACAAGGATCTCACGCTTCTGCTTTGTTGAGGAGTCCCAAGCTGTTTGGCAAGGCTTCTCTTTTTCTAAACTGTGTCTTTATTAAATGGCCTATGCGAAAGGAAGACCCTGCATCGCGAAAGCGTTTCCCGAAATCTCGGGCCGTGAAGTGGCTACACTGTGTGTTCAGACCGTTTTTGGGGCAGGCAGCGCGAAAAGCGCAGGAGTTGATCGTGCGAGAGTATGCTGAGTTGTATGTTGTTTAGTGTGCGCAGGCTGTTTGCCAATTTTGAAAAGGTGGGGGGATTTGGGCGCGAAAGGAGTGGTCCAAGATCCAAGGGGCGGGTTGCTTTGCGCACTTGGGGTTGTCAAGCCTGTGCTTGAGCTCAGGTGGCTCCAAGGCCTGGAGCTTTGGTCGGTTTTGGTCGCTTGTCACATGGAGCCCACATGTTCGTTTTTTGCCTGGCTGAACTGCTCCGAATTTGGACCGATGTGTTTGCATCATGTCAGTGGCTGGTGCCTGGAGGCAAGATGCTGCAACACCTGGGCCGGTGGTGGGGCCGTCGAAAAGCGAGGTGCCAGTGCAAATCGCTTGACATCTGGAAATCCTTGGGAGCTGAATGGGCAGGCTCTGTCCAGCAAGAGCCGCCAGGTGCGTGACTCTGGTTGGTCGCAGAATTGTCGTGGAACTTGAGTGCAACACGAACAGCATGCAGCTAGGTCCAGATGTTCACGGGGGGTGGGGGTGAGGATTTCTAAAAGCATCGCCAGATGTCACCTCCTTCAGTACACCGGGGAGTGGTGCAGCGATCCGTGTCGCAGACTAAGACTGTGATTGATGCTTCAGCGTTTGCTCAGAACTCGCCGGTTATTGTCAAACTGTCAAACCGTCAAACCGTACCGAGGTCGGTGCCCATGCTTCGGCCCTTTGACCCTCCCGGCTCAATGGCGCCAGCCTTGGAAACACATTGACATGTTTCTTCCAGATGTGCACCAACAAAAGAACATGTCCGTTGCATTCGGCAATCAGAAGCAGGTGTCGGCGAAGGAATTCCAACAACATGCATCAGCTTGTGGTGTGCCAGGCTTTGGAAGTGCAATCAGTTGATTTTTCCAAGGCGTATGGCTTCCCAAACTCGCAGGGGCCGCAAGGGCCACAGGGCCTGCGCGGGGCCAAGCAATCAGCTCTTTGTGCACAGTCGGACCAACCGTGTTGCTTCCCCTTCGAACGGAAGGGGAAAGTGATTGAACGTGTTTTCAGGATCAATTACCTCGCAAAGCCAACCCATGTGTAAAGACTCACAATTAGCGGAAAGAATGTCGGGACGTGTTTGATTGGACTGAAAGCTCATGTTTGGCATATTCGGTTGACATGTCGTCTCCTTGCAGGTCATGCACGTACACCAGCGTTGCAATGTGCCAAGGACCAATGGCAGCCTGAAGCTGCAGCCACAGCAAGGTTATGTCAGGGCGGTGCCCCAGGGATGGCACCCATGGGAAGGACAGCAGGATGAACGGAGTCACAGTAGCGGGGTCCGTGAGGATGAATGCTGCTCAGCATGACCATCAGAGCACTGATTCGGAATTCGGATGGAATCGCCTGCACGGCTGCTTGTACCGATCCACAAAAAACGAAATTCTTAACCAGTTTGCCTGAGAGGTATCGCCGCAACAGCGAGCACCATCACCGCCAAGTTCTTATTTGGCCGACAGAAAGTCAAAGCAATGTAGAGCACTGCTTTGTGAGAAGTGTCCTGCCCTTCTTCTTCATAGCATTTGCAAGAATGCTTGTGGGCTTGCAGCATGCTTGCTTCAATCATTGGGCAGCGTTCTGCGCGCAACAAGTTACCAATGCACTGAGAGATGCCCTGATCAATGAAGTTCAAGCCAGCCAAGGACGCCGATGCAGAAGCCAGCGGACGGGTGGAAGGGGAAGCTGAATCAATCACTGTTTTTGGAATTTGTATCCACCAAGCTAGGCAAACTTGGATGTTTGCAAGCGGTCGTTATGGTCGTTGTGTATTTGCCCTGCAAGGATTCACCGTATGTTCGATATCGGCCAGTCAAGCTTCAGGCTGGGAATCCAAACAAACCTAATCACAGAGAGGGAGGCGAGCGGTTCCTGAGGCTGAAAACAAAAATTGACAAGCACGCGGCCGAGGCGTCCGGTACTGCAGTCCCTGGCCGGCCAGTCCGACGATAAATCTGGCAGGGAGCCGAGGGATTTCTGTCATCGAAGATTGCAATGTGGAAGGCAGCCTCGTCCCCCGTTTTGCTAACAGTCAGGATAGTTTATTGCATTTGCTCAGGACAGCAGCTGCCACGAGTTCTTTTGGATCGACTGTGAAACGGTTAGGCCAATGTACGAATTCACTTACAGAGAATGGATGAGAATCAGCACACACGTCGCAATTGGATGTGTTTGTGTGTGTTTACGTTGTGTTTTGGTTTGATGCCTTTTCTCTCTGAGCGTGTGCAGATTCTGTGGCAGCATATTTGAGCTAGATAGTGCATGAACATGATACTGTACAGATCATTTGTGACCCCCGACAATAGTCTACTACAAACCGACCAGGTAAATTAATCGCATTTGTTGTTTGTTGCATCAGCAGCTCATTGACAGCTGTTTTGGTGCTTATCGACATGGTGCACTCATGAGTGCATGACTTGGCTGGATGCAGAGTGTACCGAATTGGCACCAGTGCTTGGCACGTCCTGCCGGATGGGGACATTGAGGGATGATGGGCTTGGGTTGCTATGGCCATGGCACTGGGACCGCAAAGTTAATGCAGCCGCAAGGTTGGCACGACACATGGCTTGAAGCCAGGCTTTCAAAAAAGATGAACCGCCTGGGCGGCCATTTGAGCGGCGGTTTTTTTGCCCGCAAGCTAATTTAGTGGGGAGAGGGACATTATTATTGAAAATGTGCGCCGCGCCACACGCGCGGAAGCATGCTCGCGGAAGATATTTGTTCGCGGAAGGTTTGCGGAAGCTTGGTGGCTGATGTACAACTAAATGTTTCAGTGCGTGCATGGAAAAGCTCGGAGAAACAATTCCAGTAGAAGAAAAGGTGTTGCTGCGTACAAGAAACGCAACGCTTACTCGAAGAGCAGATGCCAACAGCAGCCAAGAAGGCCAAAACAGCCGGCGTACTTCGCGGAAGGTTTGCGGAAGCTTCGCGGAAGCTCCGCGGAAGGGTGGCCCCGTGTTTGCAGGCAAGCGGCCAAGTAGCATGGGTAGCCCAATGGAGCCCAAGCCTACACAAGCTGCGGCGGAACACTACCTCACTTAAAATGACTTCCTTTCTGCGCCAATGCTCGCGGAAGCAAAACTTGTAAACCATGCCCCGCGGAAGGTTTGCGGAAGCAAACAATGAAACACATGTGCCGCGGAAGTTCGCGGAAGGGACCTCTTGGCCCGCAGCAAGGACGCGGAAGGGTCCGCGGAAGCTTGAATAATGTCCAAGCAAGTTTGTAGGGAATAAACACCAACGCTCATTTGCCTAATTTGTTGGGCTTAGTAGATCGTGGTCGTACTTTGTACCTCAAGATTCATTGAACTCGAAGTAGACATCAATGTGTGGATTATCCCTGATGCTTGTTTCCATGAGATACGGACTCATGTTCTGTGCATCCTTTGGCCGCTGCTTTTTCAACGAATCCTCCTGCTTGCTCGTAATTTGCCTATGTTTGCCCTGCACCGCACTGCTTGGTTCGCAGCTTGCAGTTAGAGAGGCGACCCACACATGCAAACAGGCACAACTAGCACAGCTCGTGTCGCCAATGAACAGCTTTGTAGCCCCTACGTAATTGAAGTTATAAATCCTAGGCAGCACACAAGTCCTTGCAGTTTGACACCGGCCTGCCAGCAATGTCTGCGCCCAGAGAATCTCAGCCAGCCAGGGAATCTCAGGCCGGCACGCCTTCGCAGCATGTCAATGCAGCATAGGGTGTCTTAGGTGTGAAATGGATTTCGTCCGTCAGTATGCTTCACTGCGGATTCCGTGAGGCCTCCCGCCCCTCCGGCGCTACTGGTGCTGCTGGCGGTGGTGGTCCAGAATTCGATGTCCGCGAGCACCGCAGGACATTTTTTCTCAGATCTTCCCACGGCACCCTTTTAGCCACATTTGAATGTGGAGGAAGCAGGATGAAATGGCAAAAGCCATGCAGTCCAAGAAGAAGTCCCACAAGTTGGAGGACAAGACCTGATAATTCACTGGCGTCGAGATGAGCTTGTGGTTGAACCATGGGCATGGGTTTGTCAAGAGAGCACAAGCCCCAGGTATTCCTATGCGTATATTTGCTTGTCCGCAAACAGCACTAAACATTGTAACATTGGCAGCCTTTGTTCGCGAGAGATTTGTAGCAAGGTTTTGCATTGAGGCTGCAGAGAGGTGGTGCGAAATCAACTGGAACTGACGTTGCTGGCTTCGTCGTGCTGGCTTCGTCGTGCCGGCGTTGCGCAAAACATGTCATGCACTTCACGGCGTGGTCGTGATGCCATCCACAAAACTGCACCTGACACTTTGGGGGTTGAGTGCTGGGATGACTTGTAACAAATTGTACCACGATAAATGCGCACTCGTTAGTTGTCCAATGGCCAGGATGTGGTGCAGCTGGTGTTGTCATTGCACACAGACAACAATGCCAGTCGGGATGAGTGCGATTCTCAGAGGCTTTTCAGGGCCGCCCCCCAAAGGGTCCTGCTCTCAGCAGCAGCAGATGGTTTGACGTGCCTTGGAGTCTAGTTCCGCTAGCATGAAAGGACACAGCGCTACATCGGCTTGCTGGACAAGCAGCTGCAGGAGTCTCAACGACTCACGCAGGGAAAAGCAGGCTGAGCGCCAGGCCAAGGAGTGAGAGGAATGGAGGCCTCCACCCGGCTGACCAAGGTCAGAGCGACTGCAGGATGTGGTTGGAAAGCTTGCAGCCACCCAGGCAAGCCTGGAGGCGCTGCCTTCAATGTTGAGCTCGCGAAGCCACAGAAAACCGCCGGAACAAGGGGCATCATTTTCAAAAGTGGTTGAAGGCATGCAAAGAAAGCAAACGTAAGAAGGTGCAGTGGAACTTTTGAGAGGCATGTCTTTGTTTCAGCTGTACATCTAAAGGGCCGGATGAAAACAAGCAGAGCTGTTTCAGGTCGACAGCTTGGGCCTTGTCCAAGTTTCTTCTCGCCGGGATGTTATGGGCAGCGGGCGGCATCTCATTCTCAAGGGAGCACTTGCTGTGTTTGTTTTGCCCGCTCACCAGAGATGCTTGACAGGACAGTGCAAAAGAAGCTAGTGCCATGCACAAGACGAACTCTCAGACCACTGAGCGTGCTTTGGCAGCGCTTGATCGGGGTCGACGCTTACCATTAGCACTCAGTGAGCGGGTTATTCTTGAGATGAGATTGGCCAGCACAGCGTGTGCTTCAAGAAGGGATGATGTGGAACCAGCATGTTCAGAGTAGGGGAAGTAGTGCGCTCGAAAGCGATCCGAACCGTTGGTGATGTGTGGCCATATCAACTTGACTCCAGAGGGCCGAGTAAAAGGATGATGCTCTGACAACAACAAGCTATCCAAACTGATGCCAAAAGCGGAACCGCGTCCAACCAACAACCACGTGGTCAAGAGAACCTCGCTAGCAAGCCGCCTCCAGCCCAATGAATGCGTCGCCGGTCTGACGGGTCTTGTTGGCTTGCGAACAAGCTAGGCATTTCTAAACACGAAACAAGCGCCACTTTCATGCCGTAGTCGTTGGCTTTCAGCTAGGGGAGCTGCATGAACTCTTAGCCTTTGCCAAACCTGCAAATGAAAGTGGGAGGTGGCTTGCGGCCGGTTTTGTAGGCTGTGCAGCTCCATGGCTAGGAGCCCTTTTGGTGTACTCTTTTCTTCCTTGGGGATCTGAGGAGCAACTTCTTCTCCGGCTCAGGACGCGTCGACATGCAGGCGGTCGGTCGCCTTTGGGGCAGTGCTGCAAGCGCAGCAAGGGAGCGATTGCCCAGAAGGAAGGCAGGCCTCTTGCGATGGGAAGGAGAGAGACACCCCTTGCGATGGGAAGGCAGGCTCCGGCCGCCGTGATGGGCGTTTGCAGAAGGTAAGGCCCAACTCAGGCGCAGCGCGAAAAGGCGGAACTTGGAACGCCGGCAAGGGGGCCCTCGCCATATCCTCACAGGGCGTTGAGTGCTTCTGCCCGCCTTTTCGCCGTCTCAGGAGCGGGAGGGGGGAGGGCCCCGGGCCGCGCTGCGCTCGCCCAGCGTTGCAGCTCACTCGCGACGCGTGGCCGACGAGTGGCCAAGAAAGCGCGTCCGTCCCACGCGTGGGAACTCTCAGGCAAAGGTGAGACAACCCTGTGCCGGAAGCGACAAAGTTTTGCGGAGAGAAGCTCCTCGGAGGCTGGGCTCGGAGGGCTGCGCCTGGAAGAAAGACTTGGGGGCGGCCAAGCAGAACACCGCTACGCGGAGCGCGCGCTCCCAAGCTCCGAGGAGGCGCGTGTCTACTTATTTAAGGGCTGCCGCCCAGTGCCGCCGACCCCTGGATTTAGTTGTGGTTTTCGAGCAACCAAAAACAGTGCCCTTGGTTTGGGTTTCTTTGGTTTCTTTTTGACCCAAATGGCATCTGAGGCGAGGTGCCGTTTCGACAGTGATGCGTAGTCATGATTATGATCATCGCTGCTGGAGATGCTGGGGATGCGTAGTGATGATTATCCTCATGATTGCCAGAGATGCTGCGAATGATGCGTAGTGATGATTATCATCAAGGCAGGACTCCAAATCTCAATGTCACAAATGGCATCTGAGGCGAGGTGCCGTTTCGATAGTGATGCGTAGTCATGATCATCGCTAGGCACCCTTGGTAATGCAGAGGATGCTACGATGATAGTGATCATGACAGTCATCCGCAGCTTTGGTAATGCAAAAAATGCTACGATGATAGTTATCATAAGAGTCATCATCCTCATCATCTTCATGATGATTGTCATCATAGTCATCGCCTTCATCATCGTCATCATGATATTCTTCTATCATTTCAATTGCGGTATTAGGCATCCTTGGTAATGCAGAGGGTGCTACGATGATAGTTATCATGACAGTCATCCGCAGCTTTGGTAATGCAGAGGATGCTGCGATGATAGTTATCATAAGAGTCATCATCCTTATCATCTTCATGGTGATTGTCACCCTAGTCATCGCCTTCATCATCGTCATCATGATTTTCTTCTATCTTTCTTCTATATACATTTGAAATGCATCCTTGGTAACGCAGAGGATGCTACGATGATAGTTATCATGACAGTCATCCGCAGCTTTGGTAATGCAGAGGATGCTACGATGATAGTTGTCATAAGAGTCATCATCCTTATCATCTTCATGATGATTGTCATCATAGTCATCGCCGTCATCATCGTCATCGTGCTTGTCATCATCATC